TGGTAAAAAGGAAAAGAGGGGAAGTAATTTAGAAATGTAATCAGGAATCTTTTTTTAAAAAAATTAACAGCTGTCATTAAAATGGTACATTAGACTGGTCTAGAATTAGGCTCAGACTTACACACTTCTCTGCCATTTCAATGTTTTCTTTTTAATGTAAGAGCTTGTTACAAAAACTTTGAGTTTACAAATAATCCGTAGCACCTAACTTTCAAAGATGGTGAATGTATCATGGCCTGTACCTAATTTCCACTCACTTATATCATGATTATGCACACAGATTGATTGATTACATGCACTAATATAAAAGTTCCAATATTGCATCTATCACTATTGGATCTCAGCTTCTCAGATGGCTCATGACAGCTAGATGCATAAGACATAAATCAATAAATGGGCCCTGTGTTCACTGAAAAGGGTTGTGAGAGAAGACTAATGTCTTTGGGGCTGACTCCACCAGTCAGCCACTGGCAAACTCCCATTTCTTTATGAAAAATATTCCTAAAACCTGGGATTGTCCTGGTGCCCTCATGGTGCAGCTGGAGCTGAGTGCTTCGTTGATTTTTTTCATTTAGAAAATGGAATGGTATTACTGTAACTCAGAGAAGAGTTCGACCTCGTCTTCCATATGTGATCTGATGTAGTGCCTTGTAAATGGCAATATCACTTCTTTTGATTTCTATTCTGTCCTGCTCTTACTTCATCCTTCCAGTATCTTATTTTCTGATTTTACTGCAATCATATATTGGACTGATGACTTTCAGAGATTCTTCTGTTATAACCTTCTTAATTCTTCTTTCCTGGCCAGAATATTACATGATTGAGCCATTTAATATATACTTTCTGTTTTGGTTCATTGCCTCAACATGTATTGTAAACAGCACTTTCCAGTTTCTGTCCCTGTAGCAGGGTTTTCAGTTTCTGTCAGCAGGCCTAGTGGTCAGGGCCTGCTGCACTAGTCTCTCTTTTCATTCAACATGTTCAGGACCTCTAAACAGGGTTCAGCTGGACTGGCTTTCTTGTCAGTAAATGCCTGGTCTTGCCCATCACAGGGCCAGGCATAGGGGAATCTGGGATGGGTAGGGGAACCTAGGCCCTCCCAATCCACCAAATCCCAACCCAGAGCCCTGCACGTGTGATCTATACTTGGCCCATCTCTTGTTCACCTTCACCTGGGACACTTCCTACTTCACCCAATGTCTCCGTTTGGGGCCTGGCTGCTGTTTGATTATAGTCCTTTGCCTCAGACCCACAGAGTCTCTGGTGCCCCCACCTCACATGGTTCTCCATAGCTCTGAGGTGATGTCTCACAGGAAGGGGGCAGGGAGAGACACAGCCACACGACCTCAGTAAGAGCTTCATCTCCTTTTTTTTCAGGGTAGTGCCCCTTCTGGTAATGGCTTCTCTCCAAGCTACTGGAGCTCTTTTTATATTGCTCCTTTGCCCAAGAGGGGTCAAAGTTTCCTGGCCCAGTATTGCTCCAGCCTTTCCCCTCCCTCACCCTTCATATGGGGTTTGTAGACCCCCATCACCATTTCCCTCAAAGGTCTGAATCTCTCTCTAGTGCACTGCATCACCATTTCTTCTTTCTTCATTCTTTGAGATACCTGCCATTTTAGTATCATCAGTCAGTAAATACAAATACCTCATATTTGATATTCTTATTCAAACCACCACCACAACTGTTCAGTAGCTATTGTAAATAACTGTTACCTCAGGATCTGTCATATTCTTTATCCTAAGCATAGGGAAGTTTATGGACTGCAGCAAACACCGTTATGAGTGACTTTATCTAGTTGGAAAGGCAAAACTGGAACATTCTTTAAAGGTGACTATTCTTATCCAAAGCCTTTGAAGTCAATGGGAGTCTTTCCACTGAATTTAATGGGCTTTGAAGCAGGCCATCGTGGATAACTGTATAAACAAGGATACTCCACAGGTAACTTCTTTCCACCTAGAAAGGCTGCAATACACAGCTAATTTCAGTTTCTTGATTTGCAGCCAGTTTCTATGTTACACAAAATTACTTTGCCCCATACCATAATTCTCCTCCTTGGCAAATGATTCTTCACCACAGAACATTACAAAATACTTTAAAAAGGCTAAGGGTCAAATTCTTCTCTTGATTATACCCGTGCAGCAGATCAATGGACATGATTCTCTTTTCACTTCCAGGAGTGTAAAACAAAAATAAATTCAATGAAGTCAATGAAGGTGCACTGGTGCAAAACCATTGCATGTCAGAGGAGGAGCAAGGCCAATGACTTCAGCTGAATTGCACAGGTGTACCTCAAAGCTATTCTATCTCTACCACATTTCTCGTGGTGTTATGGCAGCAATATAGATGAGGAACTCCAGCACGTTTCTGGACCTCCCTCTCTAAAAAATCCACGCTGACTCTCCTATTAGATGGCATTTTTCAGTGTAGTTCCTCACTAAACCTAACAAAACACTGTTTAATATGATTCAAACTGCTGTTGAATTACCTTCTCTACCGTCTGGCCTTTCCGCCAGTATTCAGGAATCCCATTGTCTATCAGAGAACAGAGTCCTGTCTCGTTTCTGTTTTTTTCCCCTTTAGAACTCACGGAGACATGGTACTTATTTGACTAATGGAGCATCCAGTCTTCTCTCGCATTGACTGTTTCTATGGAAATCTCAATACTAGTTCTGCTGCTGCTGTAAAGGGAAATATACGAGCCCTCTTAATCATCCTCCAGAAACAAACTAAGAGCTGCTATCTTCCTTTGGAGGCACCCACAGGTGACTCCCATTGGGGGACCTATGTGTTTCTAAGGGAAACGTTTGGCCGTGCCTATGTAACAAAACTACCACCACCTTATCTCCACTGCCTTCTGATGTTTTTTTCAGTGAACCGGTTTTCTTTTTCTTTCTGCTAACAATGAAAATAGAGTCACTGAAGACCCCAATGAACTATTAGCTATTCCATATTTCTTTTTCTCCTCTAACTATCCTTTTAACTTCCTCCAGATTTTTTTTAAAGCCTAGCTCTCCCCAGTCCTACTCTCTACTGGATTATTTGTATTTTAAAAGCCTTCTGCATACTGCTGATACTAATATTTACATCCCCCACTTATTCACATTAGCCTCTGCTGCCCTTTTTCCTGTTGGGCTGGATTTCAGTTATATCCTCACCAAGTGTTCTTTAACTTTTTCCAGCTCTGTGCAATCGCCTTTCTGGTTCACTGTAGAATTTCAAATTAACATTCCTCTGAGCCCATTTCCTCAAAATCAAATGTCCATAAGGCTAAAAACATTTTGGCTACTTTCACTGATGGGTATTTTAAAGGTAATGATAGTAGCAGCCTAATTTGCAAAAATCTATCCAATGGGTGCAATGTGCAAACCATGGAATGGCTGGGGTAACTGCATGTGCACATGGTTACTTGCTCATGCATTTGCCTGATTTGGATGTGCAAATGATAATTTGTTTGGCAAAGATGGGGTTTTGTCCAATCAGGAGATGTGCAGGGGGCTGTGCTACAGCTGTTAGTGGGGTTGATCCTGAGACTCATCAGCATCAAAAGCACCAACCTCTGCCACTTGAGCTGAAGTGTAAGGTCGTTAGCTGTGAGTAGGTAGCTGGCTCTGACTGGTGACACAGGGCAGCCTCTAAAAAGAAATCTGATCACACTTATTACGCCAGTGCGTTACAAACACATGTTGAGATACCCCGTGAAGATGGATCTCTTAGATTTGAGGATTCATTTTTATTTATGCTTCAGTATCAAAACAAAACCAAACCACTGTGATCAAATGAATCTGGAAGTGTTGATGCGTATTCAGGGCCGAATCTGGATTTCAAGGAAGTCAGCAGCAAAACATACATTGACGTCAGTGGCAACAGGAGCAGACTCTAACAAAAGGCAAGAAATTCAAAATTGGGACTGATGCGCTGGCCTTCAGTGCCTGCTGTTTGGAAGGAGAAAGCAGCACTGCAGAGTGAGCTGATGTTCTGTCCTCCTTAACCTCATACTTCCTGGCTTTTGTTCATTTCTGCCAGAGATGCACAAGCAGAATATTAATTTCAAAAGCAGGGCTTTTTTCTTCTTCCATTTTCCGGCATTGTGCTTTGTTTCCCTTTGTCTTAAAAAAAAGAAAAACATTTATGGGATGTTACAGGGGAAAATATGTCTCTAGCGTCCTACTAGTCTGTTGGCTAGCAGTGCAGGAAGCACTGCCATTGGGGTTAACCACAAAGACCCTGATTCTGCATAGGGTGACCAGATGTCCCGATTTTATAGGGACAGTCCTGATTTTTAGGTCTTTTTCTTATATAGGCTCCTATTACCCCTCACCCCCTGGCCTGATTTTTCACATTTGCTGTCTGGTGACCCTAATTCTGCACCCAGTGAAATCACCATTATTTTAAGGGGGAGCAAGATTAGGCCTAAAGAAAAAATAGTTAGAGGAGAAACTGATTGGACAAAAAAATAAATAAGCCATATTCCCGAGCTTTGATAGCAACAATTTAGAGCCAGGACCTAAGGAGATATCATCTTTCCCCTACTACCTTCCCTTAAGGATTACAATCATTACTTTGTCATTTAATTAATACAGTGATAGCACTCCTGGAAGTACCCTCTGAGGTACTTCCTGGGATGGCATCAGCGGGTATCCTGAGCTACGAAGAGATTTGATTTTTTTGGTCAGCTTAGATCTACATTGAAATGAAAACAACTGTTCTGTACTTGAAACATAAAAACATGAGAAATTAGAAACTAAGGCACATAAGAACTTAGGAATTGCCATAACTAAATAGTTCGATGGTTCATCTAAACTGAAATTCTGTCTACAACAGTGGCCAATACATAATGCTTTAGAGGGGGATTTAAACCTCCCTTAATGCAGCTAATTTTGCTTCACCATCCCATGGGAAGCTATTTCTTTCTGCCCTCAGAGGTTAATTAGTTATCCTTTCAACAATAGCCCTCTGTTACCCTTTAACAATAGCTTTATAATTTTTTGCCCCTCTATAGGATGGACATGGGGTATCCTGGACATATCTGAGACATGAAATGGTTAACAAAACTCCAGGCTCGCTCTCTCTATTGGTGAGTCAAGCATATTATTTTTTATGGAGTGAAAACAAAGGATTGAATTTGCTTTATTTTGGACAGGCACACTCAAGACAATAGAATTTTCTTCATTAACATGTGTAAGAACGATAAACAGACCCAAAAAGTATAGGGGATGAAGGGCTAAGGAATTTGTACTATTCTACCCCATGTGATTATGTTGTCAGTATTCTTATGCTCTGCAGATATTGCTTTCAGCACAGTGACCTTTGAATAAACAGGATTGTGCTGTGCTAAGAGAAACAAAATAAAAATCACAGAGATATTGGAAGACTCCATCAGGCTTGTCTGTGCTTTCTCTTCAGCTGCTTAAACAGATGGACATCTCCCCCTCTCCCCTGCCCCAAATACTAACTAAATGCTTTAATATGCATTTTTTTATACTGAAAAAGATCACCCTGAAAGAAGATCTCCTGAGGTCCTCTCATTCCCAACTACTAGTCTGTTTTTGTCTTGTTCAAGGTGGAGAAGGATGATTTAATTGGTGGCCTTCTTCTGAGATTCTCAGAGTTTATTCTATCCCCATTGCACATTTAGCAAATATTGTTGCCATGTCTGATTGGGGGCGGGGAAGTAAGATAAACTTTTCAGTGTCTGTAAGTCTGTTGGAAAGTTTATACTGAACTTTTTCTTCCGTAAACATAAATATTGCGAAAAAATCTACTGCTGAAACAAGTAATTTAAACAGGTTCTCACGAAAGCTAGTAGACTTGCCTTTCCCATTCATGGCACAGAGCTTGTGGTTCATATTCTTCAAATCAATCAGTTGAAAGAAGGGAAAAATATCTATGCATCTGCACATCCCATTATATCCTTACCTCCGAATGCAGAAATGGCATCTGAGAAGTGAAAAGCTGTAAAAGTCATTGATGAAACCCTGCCATGGCTTATTATAAATTCTACTCACTTCATAGTGTTATATTCATTCCACATGAACAGCTTTCAGAAGGGCCATTGGGCAACTGGTATCCATAGAGCAACAAACTATATTTTTTCCTGTTACATGCACACATTCACATTACCCAAGTACCCTCTGACTGCAACCAAACTTTGATATAGTCATCTCTTTTCACAGAAATACTGTGTATTGCATCTGTTCTCATGAATGTCCTACAGAGTGTGCTGTCACTGGCTCCATGGCTATTTCCACATAACACGAGTTAAACAACATGCACAAAGTCAACTCAGGCCAGCCTTAAACATGAGCCTAACTCCTGTTATCTTCAGACTTTAGAGCAGTCCAAATGGGATCTTTTTAATGGCTGTTCCAAAACCCAGCTTCTCTACCCACTTGAAATGTAGATCTGTAACTTGTAATATACCCACTCTATGTATACCTGAGCACCTGACAAGCATGCAGTCGGCATCTGCTTCTGTGCTGAATACGACAGCAAACCTCATGGTGAGAACTCAGGCTAGAAGGGCAAACATTTTTCACTTCATAGATCATCACTTACAACTCGCTGCTGGGATTCTACGGGCTTTAAAGTGTTCTGGAAAATGAAATTTCTTTGGGTTGTTATTTGTGGCAGTTCTACAGTGTTCAGAGCTAACCACTTTGGATTAAGGGGGCAGTGGGACTAATATGAATGTCATGATGTTTCAGCCAGTGAATAAGGAAAAGTTTCCATTTTGTTACCTGGCCTGGTATCAATGCGAACAAATGACTCGATCCTACCAGTCCTGAGCACCCCCAGCAGTCATAGGATCAGGGCCTAAGTTAACGTCACTCCATCAAAAGCAATCCCAGCAAAACCATCACCTGCAATGCCAGTGCAAGCGTCGAGCACATTTCCAGTCTCTCCTATAGCTGCTTCTTTTCACGAGCGCATGGCTCAAAGGCCAATAGTCAGGATTTAGGCTCAGGTCTGGAAACATTAAGTAGAATGAAAAGGGGTAAAACTGTGCCAGGAAAAATTAGTTGTTGTCTCACCTTTGGGCAGGGCCAGCTCTAGGTTTTTTGCCGCCCCAAGCAACAACAACAACAACAACAACAAAAAACGGAGTGCCACACCTTGAAAAGAGCCGCCCCCAAAGGGCCGGAATGCCGCTCCTTGAGAAGTGCCGCCCCAAGCACGTGCTTGGAATGCGGGTGCCTAGAGCCAGCCATGCCTTTGGGTTTCAGCCTCACAGAAGCCCCAGACCCTCCTGTTTCATCAGGTAGACCTGAGCTAGAGAGACACACACTGCTCCTTCTTCTCGGCCCTACAGCATTGCTGGGGTACTATGGCTCCGAGTACATGCTGTGCCTTTCCGGTGCCACAGGCCATAAAGGTACAGCCCGGTCTGAGTGGCGTGGGAAGGGGGCATTGGTGGCTTCAAGCCAATTTGTGCCTCCTGGATTCTGGGTTTGACAGGGGTTGTAAATTAGAGCAGCCCAGGGACCTGCACTACCTTATGGAAGCCTATTCCATTCTATATAAGTTCTTATACTGCCCTTCTCACCACAGTATCTGAGTCCCCACCAACCTATGTATGGTTGCCATTGTCTACACTGCCACCAGGTTAGTTTTAATGCAATGTGCTGTGACCATTCCTCCACCTGCTGGGCCTGCCCTTAGCACATCATTATGGAAGAGGCTGCAAGTGGGGAATTGCATAGGACCATATACATCCTGCGTACATTGCTCCTGTGCTGAGGAAATTCTGCTGCAAGCCATTGCAGCCCCTTTGCTAGTGGTGAATAGGGGCTGGAGTGGGGGCCATATAGCAAAAGGAAACTGAGCTCATATATTGAAAGAAGCGTGTAGTGTCAATGCTGGTTAACAAAACCCAGGGCCAGTAATTGCACCGGAGTCTTGGCCTTCCTTTTCGACTAGGTAATCAGCTAAAGAGGTAGCAGCAATGGCTGATGATGATTTTCATGCTTGTTAAGGAAGGCACGTACATGGTTCTGAGAATGACACCTGAAATGCCTGCCCCGTGCCAGGGAAAGAATCTCATGATCACTATTAGTGCGGAGGAGGGATTGCCTTTCCGCAGGGGTAATGTCCACAGCTCTGTGCTACGGCTAATGGCCATGCTTGTGGCAGCACGTTCCCCAGGCCTCTGCTGGTGTGCTCTGTATGCACGTGGCAGGGAGGTGTCCCTTGGATCTCCCTCATTTGTCTCTTTCTGAAGCATGGTGCTTAATCCCCAAGGGACTGGCATCAATAATTAGTTCCATTTCTCTATCTGTATTGTAACGGCCAGGCTTGCTTCACTTGTTGTCTCCTGTTTGACGCTGTGCAGTTCTCTAGCGCTGTGGGACTTCTTTCTGAGTTACTCCGTAGTGTCAGGGCTGATGGTAGAAGCAGGATCACTGTCTGTTTCTGCATTCTATGACGGGCTCAGCAACGGGTTACTTGACAGCACCAACTGCATCCGAGTGCCCACAGCTTGAGTTTTAATATGACTGACATCCACTAGCTATGGTAGCTCCTCCCACATGTGAATGTAGCTCTTGGGGTAACCGCTCAGAGATCATAGAATATTTCTTTGTGGTCTCTTTAAATGCGGTTTGTATATGAATGACTTGTAGAGCAACAATATGATTTCACTTGACATAGGCTCTGGATAGTTGGTCGTTCTCTTGCCATGCTAGTGGGCATAGATACAAGCTATTACAGTTCCTGCAGTGTTAGTTTGGGATTTTCTTTCTTTCTGTATGATAAATTGACTTAATTTCTCATGTTTCTTTTTGAATAGCTGCAGCAACTCAACCCCTTGCACATGAAAGGTTTCAGCTTATATTTTCCATCCAGTCCAGCTAAGATATTGCACCCTAGAGGAGATAGAAATAACTATCACACCTATAAACTAACAGAGCCTGATTCTGCTCTCACCCTAAGGTAAGGCAGAGGTAACTATGCAAATCAATGGATGTACAACAGAGTGAAAGTAGCATAAGTAAGAACAGAATCATGCCCAGAATTCCTTTTTGCCAATATGCGAGACCCTCTCTAATAAGTATTGAGATTCCTACATGATTATTATGATACTTTAGAAAGGTTATAGTATAGACATGATTGTTTAGGGGATAGGAAACAGTTTCACTGAGCATCATCAGTCTGTTAATAGCGATAGTACCAATTACCAGCCATACTATGTTTGGATACAAATGTAATGATGGGATCCTGACTATACAGGATATTAGCTTTTTCTCTTTGATATCCCTGTTGCACGTTAACTGTATGGTTATCACATGTTCTTGTGCAGTAGTGACATGGTAACTATAAAATGGTTCCACTGGAAACAACGATAATTAAATTAGGCAGCAACTCACATTATCATGGAACTTAGAGATGGAACAGCCTTTTACGTTATCTAATGCTTCTGTCTGAAATGCAGGATTGTTCCCTGTGTCATGTTTTCTAGTGCTTTGTTCACAATGTTTGGATTACAGCTACCTCGTTACATCCTGGAAACTGGGCAAATAACATGTGACACTAATGGAGTTTCTTTTCTATTGTGAGACGAAAACACAGCATCTTCATAAAATTCTGATTAGTACCTCTCCATCCCACCCCCTCCCTCACATGCTTGAAGGGTCCTGAGTTGTGATATTTCAAAATCCTTCCTTACAAGCATGAGAGCCTTTAAGAAAAGCTTTTAAATGAATCCTAAATAAGTGAGTGGCTCAGGACATATGTGTGAGACTTGGCAGCTCTATTGACCTTTCGGTCCTTCTCAAGACTCCAACTGTGAAGAATTGGTTGGGAAACTATTTGGAATCTGTCACTGCCATTACTTAAGCTTCTGGTGTTGCTGCAGAGGGTATCATTGTGAGATTTTCCTTCTCACCAGGGTCAAGCACATGTCTTCATTGTGTACCAAGACCTTAATGGCTCAAATGTGATAGAAAATTGTGCCGTGCATGACTCTGTCATCAGGGTATTGGGCTGGTGCCCCGGGTTTCCAAAATGTGGTGTATTTTCATTGCTCAAGTGTGCCAGGCTCTGAGTCTCAACTGCTTGTTGGTAAAGTGGAGAAATGGG